CGGCGCTCTTCTGAGGCCTGCGGGGACGGGGCGAGGAGGAGAGGCCTAGTGCGACCCGAGTGGAGCTTGGGCCTAGGAGTCGGGGAGGGTACGTACGAGGGGCGGGAGAGCAAGCCGGGGTCACTTGCAGTGGAGTGGAGATCCAGGGGGAGGTGAGTGTTTTGGTTTTAAAAACAAAAGGCATCTTGTTCTTCCCCCACCCCCCTCCCCAGGTCCTTTCTTCTCCCCAAAACTGCTGCTGTGGACTGTAACCTGAGCAGGGCATGGGTTTAGACCCTGAATGACTGGGGTTGCCAGTAAGGCTTAATTTCTGCAGTTGCCAGCTGCTGGGCATGTTCAGAAAACATGAAATCCTTAAGCGGCTGACAATAAACCTCAGTTGCTGTAAGGTGCCTTCTCTACTGAAAAAAACAGCACTTGGGGTATGAATTTGGGGAATGCCGTATATTGTGATATTGCTCCCCTTAGGGTACAGGATTGAACTGTTTTATTACGTTTCTGTGTATTTGTATTACTGTGAAGTGTAATCTGACAGTGTGGGGCAGCTGTCAGTGACAGTTCAGGTAAATGTAAACATTTGCCACTCAGAAGCTCACAACTGCAAAATCAAGCAGGTCAAAGTGAAGCAGAACATGTAATTTTGGTAATTATTTCAAGATGAATCATGACATTACATGTTTTGGGCCCCCAGAATTTTAGAGGTTTTTTTTTTTACATCTGCTATAGGGTTGCTAGTAGTGAAAAAACCTTGCAAAAGTTCAAGGTTGTGATGAAACTGAGTGGCCTTGACTACAGTATGGAAGACATATTCAAAGTTTACACTGATTCATTGTAACTTTCTGTTCATATTCTTAATACCAAGAGGAGACTTATGCTTCTCCCAAAAGTGCAGAAGTACTGTGGCCCGTTTACTGCTGAAAGTGTGTGGGCCATCAGTGAAAAGATAGAGAAATCAGGTTTTTCTTAACAGCAAGTGCTATGTTGGATGTAATAGTGGGAGAAAATGGTCTGAGTTCTAATTACAGAACTTGTTGCTTTAATGTAGGTAATTAAAATAGAAAGACTAATGCTGGTTGCTTAAATAGGAAATGAAAATTAATTAACTTGAAAAAGTGTTTTGGAAAGAGATCTAAAATTTAGAAATAACATTTTAATGTCAGTTTTGTAACTTTATCTAATGTAAGTGCCTGTTCTCTTGTGATCTGTTACAGGCTCTTAAGTACTCATCCAAGAGTCACCCCGGTGGTGGTGATCATCGTCATGACAAGATGCGAGACACCACAGATCCTTCACCACCAAATAAAATGCTGCGGCGCTCTGATAGCCCTGAAAACAAATATGGTGACAACACAGGGCACAGTAAAGCAAAAAGTGTGCATACTCACAGAGTTAGAGAGAGGGATGGTGGTGAGTTATCTTTAATTAAACTTTATTTAAGCAATGACTAATTCCTCACAAATACTAAAATTTATCCATTATCACTCAGGTGATGAGAGTGTTACACTAAATGTGCCTTGTGCCGTGCTTGGAAGACTGCAGTGAAACCAAAGTGCAAGTTTCACTGGAAGCATTCATTAAGGCATTCTAACACCTGTTAATTTTCTTATTTTTACAGGTATGGTAGGGGTTTTTATAGCCACAAAGTTTAAATAAACTTCTCTCTTTTTTTTTTTTTTTTTTTTAAACTGGTATGTCTCACTTTAGACATACTGCAACATTTGGTAACATGAAATAGTGTTCTGGATTTTTCACTAATAATAAATATTAGCTGTTTTGAGACACTTTAAAAAAGAACCGTGTATTGCGGTGCTATACTGTGTAATTATGTGCGACGTAGACTAAACCCCGTAAGAAATTAAAAAATGCTTCTTCCTATTTAGCTGCTCTGTAGAACTCTTTAACAATTGGAAAATGGTAATCAAAGGTAGCACCTGCTAGAGCCTTTCTTGGCAGGAGCTTATAGAAGAATGTTCACAGTCAAGTCAGCCTCCTGTGTTTTTACAGGGTCTTATAGGCAGTAGTAATATCTGATATTTTTTAAACTGATGTTATTTTCTATCCCTGCTTCTTAGAAAAAGGAAAGTAGGATTTTCCTTTTAATAAAAAAATGGTAACAGTTGAAGTTTAGAAAATCCCAGTTACTGACTGAATTTGGAAGCATGCTTTCTGTTTTGTAAGTATTGTATTTGGTCTCTGTATTGAGTTATAAAGCAAAGTATTCATGTAGAGAACTTAGAGCTTTAAATCAGAGCTTCTTTGTTCTAGATAAAGTTAACAACTTGTGGTGTACAGATATATTTATTGCTGCACTATTGTTACTTGTTATAATAGTTACAGTAAAATAAAATATCAGTAAGTACTTTTTAGGAAATACTCGTTCCACACCACAAATGTGTTTATGGTACCTGAGTGTTCTTAGAATTTCTATTTGTTTTTCCTTCTATGGATTAATACAGAGGCTCTGTAGACCACTGGTAACGTGGTATTAGAGTGTAGAAGGATCATAAAAACGGGTATCTTTTGTTAGTACACTGATTTTCATTATATCTGATCATTCTTGACAGTATAGTAATCTCAGAATTACATGGATGTGCAAGGCCAGTAGGCTGCTGTGCTACTTTTCAGGACGCAGAGGTGTCCTCTCTTATTTCCTGTTCACCTGTCCAAAGATACTCATCCTACATATTTTTGCAATTCTGCTTAGTTTTGCTACAGTCAGTAATTCTTTCTGCTTCAGTGGAGCTACATTTAGTGGAGTTATACATATATGAAAACATTTGGAGGATGAGGCTCTATATGGGGAGCGTGTTTGCTTATTTGTATGTTGGAATTGTTTTTAAGTGAGGAAAGACATTCTGAAGTTCTCACTGAGTCCAGCTGGGTTTAATAGTTGGGGAATGACCTGAAGCATGGATGTATGCAGTAACAATGAAGGAAAATTAATTATTTGTAGTTTTATAAGTGGAAGGAACACTATCCCTCTGTACCTTCTCCTTCCCCAAGCTGTTAACGCAGTGGAAAATTCCCTTTATTCTGATCTAAAGTGGTCCTTTGCGCATCATATGTTAATAGCCTGGGAGAAGGAAGTAGTCCTCAACAGCCTGAGGGAAATTACTAGCTTTAAAAGATGAACATTTGTACTATTTGATGAAAATAAGAAATTCTTTTTGTGTGTGTGGTGTTAGTAAGGTTAGTTTGGCCCCACTTTCAGCTTTTTAAAATATATTCAAAACAACCAAAGTTGCGTTAAGTCCTGTAGATTGTATATAGTAAACCACTGCTGAGCAGATGCGAGCAGGATATCAACTTTGCCTTTGCTTTACTGAATCTTTATGTCAGTATGAATTGAAGGTAGGTGTTAGAATATAGGTGAAATGCTGTGGTATTATAGACTTTAGCATATTCCTAATGTGCAAAAGACATAATCTAATAATTTATCATGTTCTCTGTCTATTGAATTACACTGAGGTACTGGTTTTGATATATTATTCCCTTAGTTTTGCAATTACAGACATACAGTGGAAAAAAAGAAAAAAAAAAAAAGAATTGTAAAATTTTTCATTGAAGTCTTAATATGACTGAAGAGTATTAATTGGCTTTGATGCTACTGTAGTTTTCTGGCTTGTTTTCTTTTCTTTTTACACTCTCCTGAGGGGGAAAAACAAAGTTTGGGGGTTTTTTTAATTATTGTGCATTTCATTATTGTAAAATCAGTGGTACTTGATTTGGAAATACTACAAAGGTGTTACTGCCTTTCTGTGATCTAGCTGAACTTAACAAATCAACCGTCATTGAAAAATTTCCAGTATTTATTCCCCCAAACTGCATTAAAGTCCCAAACAATCTCTTTTTCTCTCATCCTGTAGAAAACAAAACAGAACAAAAATCTGGAGTATTACTGCTGAATGTAAAGCTGAATTAACATAATCTTTCCCTTTCAAGTCAATGTTTAAAAAGTCACTCCTGTATATCTCTTAGTGATTTTTGCTCTGAAGTGAAACAGGAGGATTCGCTGGTGCACCATGCCTATGCTTGGGACTCATTTAGTCATGACTGGTTTACTTTTTTATGGTAGAGATAATTGGCTTAAATGTCATTTAAAGATTTAAGTGTACATGTATGAAATGTAAGAGCTATAATTAAATTGATTGAAAATTAATAACTCAAAAATGGTAGAACCTCCTGCTGTGAATACCTTTGGTACCTGTATAAGGTATTTGTTGTTACAGCTTATTTTTGTAATACTCATGGCAGAATCTTTTGTGTTTGTAGAACTATAATCCATGGTAAGATATTCAATTGCTTTCAATTAAGGCTTTAAAATGTCTGTTATGGGTAAGCCCTCCATACTGATACAGTGCAAACAAAGCATTTTTCAAACTTGCTTACTGCATGGTTTCTGTGGAAAGAGACTGTACAGAGACAGTCATTTCTCTGGAGAGAGACTTCCAAGTTTACCTTGGACTAAGCATGGTAGAGTACTTGCAAGTTTTTGTCACATCCCTGGTTTCCGAAGAGTACTTGTACATCCAGCATATCAAAAAACTGCAGTAACTTTGTTCTTGCTTTCAGGTCCTTGTGCGCGGGGATATTGTTTCTGTATGCAAGTGTTTAAAACGTAATGAAACAGCTACCCCCCTCAGTGCATCTCCTATTTATAGGTCAGCTGCTATAGGCAAGTGTGGAGTTTGAAGAGATTAGAGGGGTTTACGAGACCAACTCAAGTGTGAAGTTCCTTAACAGTAACAAATGGGGACTTAAAGCTAGCATTGTTTACAGGGAATAGAACCACGAAGGGCCTTGTAGATGTGGAAAAGTGTTTCCATTAAAGAAAAAAGGGAAGGACAAAGATTAGAGGGCTCTCATGCTTGAGACTGAGAGCATAGATGATTCTTTTAGGTCTTTTTAAATGCATAAATGAGGTGATATTGGTGTACAGGAAGGAAAACAAAGAGGTCTAAGAAGTAGGGTAGCTGGTAATGCTGTAAGGGGGAGATATGTATTATCTAGGAGTAAAAATTGCAAGATGCAACCCTTGGTAAAAGGGGGAAAAGGGTGTTTGTTTCTACTTAAATGTATGAAGCAGAGTGACCAACTAAGATACATAGTAAAACTTTGAGCAAGAAAAAGTTAGTCTGAATAAGCCACCTGTACTCAGTTGTTTCTTATTGTGAAGATACTGTTTTGCTACATTTGTGTTTAAGAGACTTTGAAAATATATGCTTCATGCCATGATTTTACTGAATTGTTTAAAATAACAAATGGAGAGTATTAATGTACACAGCATGAAATCTTTTGCTGGATTGTGTGCTATGTAGGCTATTTTAATGAAATTTGATTATGACTTGTCATATTTCAATTCCAAAATATAACTGAACTCTTGTGAATATGTTTATCTTGCATGGCTTTTTTTAATTAGAATTAAGAATACTGTCAATGACTGCTGTTATTGACTGTAATACAGTCCTAAGATTCAAAATCCTACTGCTATTACAGACTGATTGGAATATTTTAAATCATGACTTCATAGTAGCAGTGGGAGCTTCTCTCATGAAATGTTGGCTTGCTTTGTTTCCAGTGGTTCCTGAAGGAGTTCAGAGTCCTCACAGCACAGAGACAGTGAACAGCCGGAAACATAGCGCTAGCTTTTCTTTCCTGTCTTAGCAACCCTTGCAGTAGAGGACAAGAGGCTAACTGCTGATTAAATTAGCATGATCGTTGACTAGCAGTCAGAAATAACTGGGGCGTTGGGGCAGGTACAGGAGAGTGGAAGCTGCCTGGGCAACGTGCATTGGAAAGAAGAAATTGCAGAGTAGGTGGAAAGAGGGAAGTCTGAGAGTAATGAAGCATAGCGAAGGGTTGAGGAAGAAGCTGGAACAGTTTCTATCTAGTTACTATTAACGGCTGTTAATGTTATTCATTACTATGAAAATGTTTCCTCACTGTAACTGTATGGTCAAAGCAGGGATGAGAGAAGTCTGTGATCACAAATGAGAGTAGGCTCTCTGTGAAACACGGTTTGAACACCACCTCCCACCCCCAACATCCAAATGTAAGAGAGGTGATTCTCTCCCCTCTTCCTTGAATATTGTCTGTTGGCTCTAAAGGAGGTGGGGGTTGGTGATTTGTTTGGTTTTTAAGATAAATACAGTTGCTTCCAGGACCATTCACTTCTTAGAAGCTTTTCTTGATTAAAAAAAAAAAAAAAAGATGGGAAAAGTAGATTGCTGTGGTTTTCTAATTTTGATAAAAGCTTTCTTTCAAGTCTCACTAGTACTGGTACCTTAAGTTGGGGGGGAGGGGGCGGCAGCATTGTTTTAAGTTTGCTTTAAAAGTTTAGAAGTTTTAGATAGAAAGTAGTTTTACATTTACTCAGTATGTTTGGCGATGTTTCTGAAGTGAGTTTT